CCCCAGTAGTTTGACACACCGCAAAATCTGCAAGTTGGAGTTCCCCTAATAGCTTTTGACGCAAGACGGGAGACTCGAAATTGCACTCCCCCAACAGCTTGGGGCCAATTGCAATTCCCCAAAAGTTTGACGCAAGACAGGAGCCCCGAAATTGGAATCCCCAAATAGCTTGCGGCAAAATGCCACCCTGNNCTGCTAAGTGCAATTCCGCAACAGGTTGCATTAACAGAAGCAAAATGCAACCCTGCTAAGTGCAATGCCGCAATAGCTTAATGCAAAACGTCAACAATTGCTCCTAAGACCAAGCAAAAACACCAAAAAAACCAAAAACTCCCCCCAAAAAAAGAACCGGATATTTTCGGAGCCAGTGCTGACTAGCTACACAGTCTAAGAAATTGCTGCACGAAGCTACACCGAGCAGAACAGAAAAATACAAAAAAGCGAAACAAAGACCGACAAAAAAACGGAGACCTGTGGTCAACGTGCTCCGAGAACCGAGCGGTCTTTTTCGGTCTGGGCCTTGTGGCATCGTCCCACAAGTAGGACCGGAAGGAGAATGCCGCTTCACTTACCAGTCGTCGAGTTGCAGGGCGTCATCCTGCCACCAGTGGTATATCTCTCAATACTTCCTTCAAATCCTTCTTCTCAAGGAGGAGGCGGCGCCTTAGCAACGTCGGTGCAGCCAGACGCTCCTCACCGGAGGCTTGGAGGGGCGTTTGTCCTTCCCGCGGAGCCCGACCTCAATAGTTAGGCTTGGGTCTTGGGGATAGGTATACTAAATAGCTCTTACCAGCTCAGCTTTTCATCATGATTCCGGAACCCAAACTTCATCATCCTGTCCTTGTCCATCTCCTGAAGAACGCGGCGCCCCAGCAATGTCGGCGCAGCCAAAAGCTCCTCAGCGGCGGCTTGGGGGGCTCGCGCTTCTTGCCCTGGAACTCTTCAAGCTTCCTCAGCTTGTCAGTCTTCGAAACCATATGAAGGCGAGTTCTGTCCTCGCGCTTCTTGTCCTGGAACTCTTCAAGCTTCCTCAGCTTGATGTGAAAGCCCCAGGTAGGGTGCAACCGCCGAACATGTCGAAATTTGCTTCGGCTCTACACAAAATAGTAATCTGGGAGCCCAATCGGCAGAGTTCAACATGTGGAAACAGTGCCGTCTCGCAAGAAATCGACAAGGAAGGCATTTCGTAACCTTTAATAAGAGCAGTAGACCAGCATAGTGCTAATGCGTGACAACACAATGAATAGAAATACTAAAGGTACATACCACTAACCGTCATAGCACCAACGATCACGAAAGGAATACTTAATGACATAATGATATCATATCTACTATCCAGCGTTCAAAACCCTCAAAACTGTGTGGCCTGATTCGTTGAAAACGGCCTGTATGAGTAGAGGGCCCTACATGCGGAATTGTCCCCGTAGTCGCTTTGCAAATGGTGATGCTGATGCTGACGATGACGATGATGGTGACGATGATGGTGACGATGAGGGTGATGATGANNTGATGATGGTGATGATGATGCCGGCAATGATGTTTACGATGATGCACGAGCATACTCACTTGCAAAACTGGCTCGTGAAGAGAGGATCGACTCTTGGTCGGGCCTACCCGGAATCATGGGGCCCCAGTAGCAAGCTTCAACAAACCGGGAGCCTTCTTGCCCAATTTTTTCCATGGAGTCTTCACTCCGAGTCTTTGGCATTGGGTCTTGGCCGAAGTCTGGCCGGCCGCTGAGATAAATGGAACCAGGTGCCAAGTGCACTGGGCATGTCCAGAGTGAAGCTAAGAAGATTCTGTAGATTCTGCTGGATCGATCTTCCTGAGCCGTTCAACTCCAGACAACCCGGAACCAGCACTTTGCACGAAAAGATGCATGGAAAGATGCTTGCGGCAGATTCAGAAAATCGCAGAAACCCTGCTAGGATGCAGCCTTCCGAAAGGTCTGCCCGCGGACGCGGAAGGCGCCAGCAGCCCGCAGTAAGACTTGCAGGATCCTCTTTGGTCTCTGCTTCTCTGCACGAACAAAAAATGCCATCGTCTAGTGCTTCACAGTCTTGACATGGCACTGAGCGCCCGCTGCGGAGCAAGTAAACACGACCTCAGCCAAGCGAAACAAGACCGAAATTCCTCAACGGCCCAAGCATATTGCACTGTGTTATACTCGACTCTACTATATTTTATTATGTTATATTCACCCGGCGATCCCAACAGCTTCGAGGGCTGAAGGCTTGGGGGCTCTGGGCCTTCGAGGGCTCATGGCTTTGAGTACCCGGGGGGGGGGGGGGGGGGGGNNCGGGCGTTCAAACTCCCTACCCCAAAATGAAATGTCAAGGAAGGATTGATTCAAAGAAGGCTTTTGCGCGGCTTCTTCAAGGGTGCAAGGTTTCGTTTGGGGGCTTCAGGGCTTCAGAGAGGTGTAAGGTCGTTGAGCCCTTCCGGCTGTGTCGGGTCCGTTTTCTCCTTCTGGGGTTCGGGCACGCCTTGGAGCTGCAGCAATTTGGGACCCTACGGTTAGGGTTTAGGGTTTAGGGTTTAGGGTTTAGGGAGACAAGAGCGCAACCGCACTCCGATACATCTGTCCTGGGCACAAAAAACTCCATGCCGATCTTGGAGACGCAGTCAAGGATGCAGAGAAGAGCCTTGGGCAGAGGAGGTCTCCCAAAGAAAAGCAAACCGCTCAGGCTTCGGGACGCTGTTGGGGTCCAGGTTTTGCGGTGATCCTCTCAAACCCCGTCGTCGAACCTCCAATGCTTGACGCCGAAATGGAGCGTGGAGTCGGATTCGGCGGTATAGCAACCAAGACCGCCATGTAACTGAACTTCCACCCTCTCATCGTTATACCAAAGTCGCCTAAACTTGCTCTTTCTTTACATGGCACGCTAGAGCTGCGCAGGACTCAGGACAACCGACGCCCACCGTGGTGACCTACTGGGTGGCATGGGGATTCTGCTTCAGCTTTTTGGGTCCAGGGTCAGCGCGCCGACCTGAGTAATTTCTTCGCGTTTGCTGCTGGTTGTGGGACCAAGGCGCATCTTCCATCCCTTTGGAGATCAGGCCCGCGTGAGCCCGGCCTGACCACGCTGCCGGCACTGCTACGAAGGGTTTAGGGCTTTTAGGGCTTAGGGTCTGGGGTATCCTTCTTGGCCATGAATACGTCTAAGAGCTGCTGACGGCAACAACAGTGGTGGTGATGCTGGTGCGCCTACAATCAGCTGTAATCATCACAACAGTTGTGTGTCTTCGGGTATCATGGTACGAATGCTCGCTTGGCATTTGGGGGGCGGTTCGTTACAAAGGTAGGGGTTTCTTGTTGCCGGTTTGTCTGTAGGTGTCTTTTGCTACATAGGTTCGCTGGTTCGCTAGCCGCTAGCCTGCCAAGATGATGGCAGAATCATGATCCATGATGGTGGTGACTACCATGATGGTCAAGGCCATAATCATTTTACAAGGACAGTCACAGTGACACTGCTTCAGGTGTCTACAATTACGACATAAGGTCGAGAAAGGACTACAGCAAAGGCCTCAGCCGCTCGTGTCAGTTCTCATGCAAGACTGCTCAGAGTCATGGCTCGAGTTGCAACTCTAGTTTTTCGTACCGTCTAGTCATGTCAAGCACAGCGAGGCCTTGCACGTGTGATTGAACCCACTTGTTCGTGCTCCGGAATTTCATTACTGGCTGGTGGGTGGTGGCTGCCGCTTTTGCTTCTTTTTTTTGAGCGGTTTCCTAGCGAAATCTTTCTGTGGTTTCCTGGCTGTCAAGGTCCCCCCAGAACTTCGGGACTTGGTTCTTCACCCTGATTACACGAGCCCGGCCGTACTGGAAGCCTGGCCTAGGAGGACAACGATCGGGTATCCCGTCCAAGAGATGACCGTCAGCCAAGACAGTTGGGAAAAGAGACGCTGCACGTCGGGAGGCCGATCCAGCACAGTGCCATAGGCAACGTCCACCTCGAGGGCAGCGATCATCGTCATATAGAAAAAGACAGAGATGGAAAACCAGAGATATTTCTGCACCACTTTCTCTTTCGGCACCAACATGGCGCTGACAATGCCCCCAACTAGCATCATCAGGTCACTGCCGATCACAAGAATGGTGGTATGCTTCTCCGCGCCGCCAATCATGCATAGCTCGAAAAGCATCAGAGGAGTTGTCGCAATCCAGTCGATGTAGCGGATCACAGGTACCTTTCTGCCACCAATCGTAGCTTCCCCCAAACCGGTGACCTTGGCCAAATAGGCCATGGCGGCGATGGCCATGACAAAGAAGGTCACCACGAAGGATTCCTCGTGCTCATGCCGTGCCCAGAGAAGGATGAGCAACAAGGAAGCCATGGTAAACAAGGCCAGTACCACCCGGGACACCACAATGGCAAATTTGTAAGTCCACCACTCATGCTGACTGCTCTGCACTTCTTGTCGGCGCTGCTCCAAAAGGTCCGCCAAGGAGTTGTGAGAGGGTCTCTTGCGCCCAGCGGCCATGGCTTTCGTGGGCTCCGGAAAGATATTTCCTCGTCCCTCCTCTAACTTCTCTAGGCGAGGAGACTCTCCGGCTTTCTCCGATGAAACCGTGGAGGGCGTCCTTGACCCTGACACCTCACTGGCCAGCTCTCTGGCTCGAGTCGCGGCAACGAATCCCACACCGCAACCCGGCAAGCAAAGCTGAACGGCTGCCTTCATTGCTCGGAACCCGGGCACTTTCAGGCCTACCCTGACGGACCTTTTGGCGGGAAAACTGCGATCCAAGCGGTTGAGACTGTATCTTCCATCCTCGGAAGATGCTCGGCTCGACTTCGATCAGCTAGCTGTTTGCAAAATCTCTACAAGTCTGGCAGCATGCAAGAGCAACAAGCAAATGTGCTCTTGCTCTGCAACAGAGCTGTGCAATTCGCACCTAACTCGTCCCTTTTCTTTCGAGCTCGAATCCCTGAGGCAGACAGTGGCGAGCTACTGCCGGCAGGCTCTTCATCCGATCTTCGGACGCAGAGCGCCTTGGGCGCCTTCGACGGACTTCTCCACGGTGGTCTCCTTCTCCACGCCGCTGAAAACAGCGCAGCTTCGAGCCGCTCTCTGGAGGCCGTTTTTCAGCCTTTGGGGCTCGGCTGATGTTCCGGCTGCTCCTCGCTCCTCTTCTGGCGAAGCTTCTGGAGCTCCTCCTTGATCACACGGTCCTCGCTCTCCCCACCATTCGCCAAGACGGCCTCGGCTAAGACTCCACGCTCGTTTCTAGGACTGCGAGAGCCCCGCCTGGATCACCCAGCGCTTCCGCTTCAGGCCAGCCACCTCCTGAGTCCGAAGGATTGAATTTGGAGTTTTGCACCACAGGGTGGAGACTCTCTGAAGGAGAGTCCGAAGAGGAGAGTGCGAGAGCGTGGCCAGATTTATCACATTGACCATCCGCATCACCATCGTCACCGCCTATGCTATATATTCGTGGCTTGCACAAATGCCAAACAGGTCCCCGGAGTCTTCCGATTCTCGCCACTGCAAGCAAAGAAAGCAATACATAGTTGTGGCTTTGTCTCACCAGCTGCCCACACCCTCACATGACCCACACTGTCGTCACCCGCTCACCACCCTTGCTCACACACACACACACGACATGCACAGCAACCCCCATCAGGCGCTCAAGCAAAAAGGATGTTGCTAGTGGTGGGTGTTGGTGGGCAAGCAATCCCCCAGATGCTGCTCTGCTGGTACACCGAACCAACGGAACAGACGAGCACAAGAAATAGACGAGTGGGAGGAAGCGGAGCAGGGAGAAGGACGAAGACGAGCACAATGGTTGTGATCATACAGGTGGGGAGTCGCTGCTCACACTGCTGTTGATGATGATGGTGATGGTCATGATGGTGATGATGATGATGATGATGTTGTCGATGAAAACGAACATTGGTAATAGTCTACCAAGGTGATGGTGAATGCTCGTCACGATCCCGGCATTGATCGGAGTGCTTCGGCGTTGGAGATTGCACGTCATTTTCGAAACTGACTGAACCCGGATATGCCAAGCGTTGTTTGCCGCTGGCGTCATCCTCAAAGCCTGCTTGTGTTTACCTTCTCCTATGCTGCCCCAAGCTGAGCAGCGGGCATTCCGAAGGGATGCAGCCTCCAAGACCAGCTGCGAGTGGAACTTCTCCTGGGCGGTCGGGAGATCTCATCCAGGGACAGGAACCTTTGGGACCGTGACTTGGGCGTGGACGAGCCGCTGCTTCGTCGCATCCTGCCAGGAAAGCAGGGCTGAACGGGACACTGGTTGCTTTGATTGCGCGCCTGTGGCTCTTTGCTTTCCATGGCCTTGTAGAATACCTGGGGGCAAACTCGTCTCCACTCAAAAGATTTACTTTGCGCCGGTCCTGTCGACCTCATTGTGGTCAGGGTACGAGCACAGCCTACAAGCTACTTCCCAAGAACTTCTCTCTATGCTGGACTTCATTCATACATGCATACATACATACATACATATATATATATATATACACATACATACATACTTACTTACTTACAAACATACACATCTATGTATATATCTATGCACACATGAAAATGCATGAAAACCACATGAACCGTTTTGTAAGGCAAATAGTACTGCATATAAACAGCAAAGAAACGTGTGCCGCAACATCTGAGATGTAAGCTGTAATGATACCATATGCCATATGTATGGCTGTCTTTTAGATAGGCATAGAAAAACTGATGGTGATTTGTGTTCATACATATGCGACACTGTGCCTTGTTCAGATTTATGTATGGGTGCCGGGTTGCCGTGGCTTGTGTGCGACAGAACACTACATGTCCAAGTAAGACTACATAGCTCTCTGTCAATGGTTCTACACCCCCATCGTCTCCACTCTTCACTGTGACTCAGCCCCTTGCCTGGAGCTCGCTCATCAACTGCGTGTTCTCTGCACGAAGCTTCGTGAGCTCGGTGGGCATCTGTGCAAGAACATGCTCAATGCTTCTCGCGGGGGGAGAAATGATGATTCTGGCAGCTCCCCTACACTCAACTCTCTAACAGGAAAAATGATGGAAAAAATATTTTAGCTTCTGCAGACAGTACATTTTTCAAGTTGGTGATCGATCACCGACCCATGACGCCCTGCTCTGACAAGGCAACGATCCGAATCGATCCACCTTCCCGACTCATCGGAGATTAAAGTGAAACCATCTAGCAGGGCTACGTGGCCGCCTTTGACTCCTAGCTGATCTAGCTGTCAGACCTGCCATGGAAAAGGTGTTGAGGCGTCCCCTTGCGTATGGGCTTGGGTCAGCTGGACCGTCCGTGTTGTCAGCTCCCCCACCTTCAAGCATGAAAGCCCATCCCGTCTGTCTCCACCTTTCGCAACCCTTGCATAAATGTGTATATATATATACATATATTAATATATATATATATACACACACACTCATATATACATATGTTGGGTGCAGACTCCGTTTGCAAGCGGGCGAGTCTTAGTAATTCGGACACAACAAACTCGACGACTCCCAGAGCTGCGAAGTGGCCAGGAAGTTTATCCGAATCTTCATGCAAGCACTGAATGTTGCATCTTGCTGGACTGCCATGCCTGCTTGGCTTCCAGCTCAAGCTCCTGCAGGGCCAAACTCCCATGTCGAAGCCAAGAGCAGGAGGAGGAGGAGGAGGAGCAGCAGCAGCAGCAGCACCAGCAGCAGCAGCAGCAGCAGCACCACCAGCAGCAGCAGCACCAGCACCAGCACCAGCAGCAGCAGCAGCAGCAGCAGCAGCAGCAGTAGGAGCAGGAGCAGGAGTAGGAGTGGAAGAGGAGGAGTAGTAGTAGTAGCAGTAGTAGTCGTAGTCGTAGTCGTAGTCGTCGTCGCAGGAAGAAGTAGTAGTAGTAGTAGTAGTCGTCGTCGTAGTAGTCGTAGTAGTAGTCGTGGTAGTAGTAGTAGTAGTAGTAGTAGTTGTTGTTGTTGCTGTTGTTGTTGTTGTTAGTAGTAGTAGTAGTAGTAGTAGTCGTAGTCGTAGTCGTAGTCGTAGTCGTAGTCGTAGTCGTC